AGTGGACAACCGCTTCGCTATTGGTCCATTAGCTGAATTGACCAGTGATGAAGCGGATCAGGTATGGTCCTTGCCCTACAGCTGTATGAAGGCTTCTCGACTGTGCCCATTGTAGACAGTGCGCTGAATTTGAATTCAATGATGAAGCGAGAGCGTGTCGTCAGCTAATTGGTGGTTGGGAAGGCGGGGATGATGAGCAGTTCCAGAATGTCCTGAAAGATGGAGTGTTACGAAGTATGGATAACGAGGTATGAGATGGCGCTTTCGTTTCTTTTTGTTGTTTGTGTACAGAATTTGTATATTTTGGGACTCTAGAAACATTTTTTAGTATCTCCGATTAATGAAGAAGCTGCGTGCGCCAGGAGGAGGAAGCTCTACAGTCGGTGAAGAAGGGGAAGGGGAAGAGGAGGACTTGAAGTAAGGGAAAGTGATCGCTTATTCCTCAAGTTTGACTGATTTTGAAGTGCTTCTTTGTCTGTACAGTTTTTAATTTGCGCACGGTGGTCTCTGTTAACCCTTTCCGCGCACAGTGGTCTCTGCTTACCCTTTCCGCGAGTTGGATGGTCAAGATATCCTTTCTTTTCGCAAATTTCCTCTTCATTTTCACTCGGAAAGTCTTTTTCATTTGTTTCTTACGTTAATCACGCACCATTGCATGTCATACCTGTACTTAACCCCATAAATGAAATGCAAGCAGCATCCTTCAGAATTTTCTCATCCCGACTAATCATACATCCTCACTTCTAGTTCTCAGGTTATTGTTTTGTAACACTTGGTAGTTCTTGTAAGTCTTCCATATTATTTGTGCACGTCTTGCAATGTTAAGGGGATAATCGAGTGCCAATATGCCTTTTTACTGTAAAAGTAGGATTATATTCATCAAGTATCCGGTGCAGTAATATGTGGTTGTGATGTCTGGTGATTGTATTTATCAGCTTGTGATAAAAATATGATTAGCAGTGTTTCTTGTCATACAATGATTATAAGTAGTCGTAGCTTGAGTACTTGCGGCAAAATGAGGATGAGAATCATAATGTCAGTTAAAGATTTAGAATGGATGCATTCATGGAACAGCTACGAATACTCCAGAGTCATTTCGATGCTCTTAGTAGTGAGCAGCACAAG